ATTTAAACCATTGGGGCATGAAATTGCTCTTCCACCTTTTGCACAAACAGGAAGCTACAGTTATGAAAGTCGATTTGAGAGTCGATCATTATAATATCATAGGTCACTAAACCACTAGGATCAACGTTTTATTAGAAGCAGACATACAGAACATCTCCAAGGTGCTGATTCTGTCCCAGAGGAGGACCCCAGAGTTCTGTGGTTTGACACTTTAACACATTAAATTTATTTGTTGGAGTCCAACTTCTTTCTGTTTCAATTAAAACGAAAGACAACAGGAGTTGATGTTTAGGTAGTTGACAAATAAGGATGAGAGAAAAAAAAATCAAGCTGAAGAAACAAGCTGATCCAACCTGAAGAAACAATATATTAAAAGCATATGTATTATTTTTCATGTTTACCTCCTGATAACATGGTTATCTCCTGCGTCTGTTTCTCTATTCTAGCTTCCAGAAAGTAAATCCCCAGAGATGGCACTGGCAAAGATAAATCTGGCGTCTTATCAACCTAAAGGGCACATGCCAGTCAGTATCTCATTGAACTTTACCAGCAATCGATGGAAGCACGCATAAAAACCAAGTTGACTGACTGTGGTGGACTACAAATTGAACTCTGCTATATGGGTTTTTGCTCATGCATGAGAACAGCTCTTAACACAAGAAGATTTTCTAAATTCCTTATAAGGCTGTCTTAGGCCAATACATTTCTGCAGTTCTTTTATGTAAGAACACTCATATTCACTCTGTCACTTCTAAGGAAACTTTCAGTTAATCCTCTTACAACCTAACATTCTTTTCCTACAATTTATGCCTTTTTATATTTTGCCTTAATGATTATGGCAGAGTTTTGTTTTAACCCTGGAGCCTGAATGTCTTCCCTCATTTCTAAGTCAAATTGGCTAAATACAGTTAGAATGCAAGTTCATAAAAAGAAGATAACCTTTTGAAGAGAAGTGATGCAAAAAATGGAAGAAAACATTAAAGATAAGTTTTTTTTCCAAGATTGTTACAATTAAATACCTCTTTTTTTTTCTTTGCTTTATTACACACTGTCTTTTTATTGTTCAGATAAGGACATTATGTTGAGTTACATGCTGTGACAGTATTGAAAAAGCTGAGGTTTTAAATCACCCAAACTTGAATTAGACTTCATCAGAGAATGGAAGGGAGAAATGATAGATGCAACCACCTTCAGGTGAAATACCAGCAGAGCAGATATTTCCTTCATTGATGCAACCTAGAAGAGGGAAATTTATGGCCACATTTTTAGAGCGCTGAAGATCACTGACAACATCTCAGTGCCAACAATTTTCAGGGAAAAAACAGTTTCAATACCACTGACTGTCTTGTCTGATTGTCTTCTTTTGCTTTGCCCTAACTTCCCAATGCTCTTTCCTTTACCTCATCCAATGTTGTTACCTCTCAGGCTCAAAATCATTTATTTAGCTGATTAACAACCTAAACCTCCTGACTATTTCATCATTGGATTCACATCAATGTTGGATCAGTTTGTTGTGATGCCGCTGAAACATAAAAAGCATACCCCATGGCATCCTCAATGGTACAATGATTAGAGTTACTATTAAGCTTTTACAGTGTTAATCTCACACAGCAGAAATCCAGCAAAGCTTCACATTTTCTTGGAATTTATAATCGTTTTCTCCATGCAACACATACTAAAGGATATAAGGCTTAAGTACACCAGTGTTTACAGCAAGATGCTGTATTTTTTTTTAGAATTCTGTTGTGGAAAGCGCTATCTCCTCTGCCATTATCTGTTAGTGCAGCAGCATCAGTACTATAATCGACTTTAAGAAGCTCAGGCTCCTAAAGAAGAAGTCTCTAGAAGTCCTCTAGAACCTCAGGAGATCCTTTCACAAAAAAAAATATTTATAAAATAAAGAGCATTAGGGACAACAGTGATAAATGTCTTTATTAGACTGTCATACATTAAGTGACCTTAGCGATTCTCAAGTTTTCCTGTAAGACAGACTGCTACAGAAAATGTTTGCTCCAAACAGCTATGAAGATGACATTTAGAAATAAGTACACATTTCTTAAAATAAGCGTATTAACCCTTAATTTGAGTAGATAAATAAAATGATCTGCCAGTGGAATAAGTATCTTTACTCTTAAAATAAGATAATTATATATTGTGCACTTGAAGTAAGACAATGCAATTGCTTTTAGTTAATTTGGATGTGAATTTTCTTAGTCCACTAGCAAAGTATCTTACTTAGTTCAATTTATAAACATGCACTTATTTTAAGAAAAAAAGTAGAGAAAAACTTCTTTTTGCAGTCTGTAAAACAACTTATTTGAATAATTCCCAAAACAATTCACAACATTTAATTAATAATTATTTTCCAATTAAATATATGTGCCTGATTCTCATATATCAGCAAGACTGTTGGCATTTTGTGACTAAATAGTTAGGCGCCTTTTTTTTTTTTTACAAAACAAATTTGCCATACGGCCACTATGGCAAGCTGCTTAGAATACTAACAAAAAACTAAATAAACAAAATGTGCATTTTGGAACCACAATATTAAGCGATAGCAATGTTGTAGTCCACATGTACAACCAAATACTTTAAGGGAGAACCACAGAGATTTTCTTAAATACTAAAATGAATAGATTCTTATTATAAGCAGCCACAGTGGTTTATTTGTAAGAAGTGTACTGGCTATAAAGGAGCTCAGTTCTGCAGCCTGCAGTATCAGCCTCAGGTTAATTTCAATCTCTCATTACACCTTAGCCTGGCATAAATCACAGGCATATCAAACTCCAGCTCAAAGCGTTTTCTAAATGTGGATATGGACTTGTTAAATATGGAGGGCAAAGAAGGTCTTCTATTATTTTCCAGACTTCTTGACAAGGATTAAAGATTAAAATTAGGGAAATAATATCAACCATGAAAGGCACACAAAAAAATAAATCCGGGAAAATGTAATATAAACATGCATTTAAGATGATAGTGGCATCAATGCCCGAGAACATTCATATCTAATTTAACGGTACAAATTAAAAATCTATAATGCATAGGCCTCATTATGGAAGTGGTGATTTTACACTTCCATGAACAGAGAGGAGGACGGGAAGTATCTTATTGAAATAGGTGACTCATTAATTTTACCTTGAAATGACTTTGCTATATTATTACATGATAATCAGATAAAATTAAGCTTGGAGATGTAAAAAAAAATCAAATCAACAGCGAGTCAAAATGCATTTTGTTTTCCAACTTAGACAAGCACACATCATGTTTCCTGCATAATTCCTCTCACAAAGCAACATCTGCTCTCTATGAGATCAAAGCAAGGAGTTAACCATTTTTCTCCTCACAGACAGTTTGCAGGATCTGGACAAAGTTAATAATTTCTCTTAAATCACAAAAAGCCTTCCCATTCGATGACATTGATCAATAAATACTCTGTTTTTCATTAACCTAGCAACCGATCCCAAGCAGTACAGCATTAATGCCTGCAGGGGTTCAATCATAGTTGTGACCTAATGTTATGTAAAGAACAAGAACAGACAGTTCTCAACACTGCGCTACATGTCTATCTGGGGAAATAGCTGCAACAAATTGGAGACAAGTACTGAACTACACTGGGGTTGAAAACACTTGTAAACAGTTGAAATGAAAACCAATGACTTATAATCAAGGCCAAGAACAGAAGAATAGAATAGAATAGAATAGAATAGAATAGAATAGAATAGAATAGAATAGAATAGAATAGAATAGAATAGAATAGAAAATCCCTTTATTGTTCTACACTAGGGATTTTGTGGTGTTACAGCAGAAAAGGATTATAGCAAAAGTGGTCGCACAGATGTGGAGCTTAAAAATTGTATAAAAACAACAGAATAAGTGTCAGAGTTTTTAAAAAATAAACAAATAAATTACTTTATTTTACAGTTTTAATAAGCATCTAGTTTAATGCTTATGAGGCAAACTTGCAGCTATTTTTAGTTCTGAAATATTTAATTTGTATTTATTTGGATTTAAGAGTATTTAAATTTACTTTAATACAAAAATATAATTGCTAGCACATTAAATAGATAACTTTGCTTCAAATCTTCTTTCTAAAGACCACTTGCACATAAATAGATATGCCGAATGCAATGATTTTGTATTTTGGCCTATTATGCAATAAGGGTAAAGAACATAACCATTGCAGTGATATTCATGTACAAAAAGCATGCACAGAATATCCTTATGGAAGTGCAGCTGGTGGGCACTCATACAGTGCAAACCTAACTGGTAACACCTGCGTCATATTTGAAATGTTGAGGGGATGAGCACTAAGCTTTGTGATCAATATCTCTGTCGTCAGTGAGGCTGAGGGACCATTATCCCCAGTAAAGTGACTGATGTGGAATGACAGGGGGGCTTTCACAGAATCTGTCCAACCGTTTCCCTTGCAGTCATATTCTCACACATGAATAGCAACACCACAATGCAGCTTCAATCACTACAGTTGCACAATAAATTGTTTGTTTTCCTGATAATGTAAAATTCTGTCATATCCAGGAAGGTGCTTTGATTTTCCCAATGTATATCTGAAGGTGCTCCAGCAAATATTGTAAGTTATAAGGCAACATCTGTCATGAAGCCTTAAAACATCCTTATTAAATGTCGATCACAAGAAAAATCTCAGAAGTTACAAATGAAATGGAAAAAAAATAATAAAAACTTATTGACACTTGATGCATATGTGAATATAACAGTGATCAACACACTGCAGGTAAGTTCTATATTTATAAGCTGAACTGTTGTCATCCTGTGCATTTTTGCACATTGTGAAGTTTTGATGCAAAGCACACACAGGTACTTTATGTACCTATGTGTGCTGTATCCCTGTTACCAACTGATTGCATCCCTGGAAACCATGATGGGAAGAGGGAGGAACCATTTCCCTTCAAGCCTTCATCAAACTTTTCTATATATAATGGTTTTATTTTGGGCGTGTTGATTGACACTGATGCATCCCTTACCTCTCTCCTCCTGCTCTCCGCCCCAGGTCTGGTGATGAGCGCCGTCTCGCCGCACACCACAGCCGCGTCCTCCACGAACACGCAGTCCGGGAGCGACTCGTCCGCGGGCAGCTCCACCACCTCCAGCCCGAGCCTCTCCCGCAGCACCTCCACATACGCCTCGTGTTCCGTCCGCGCCTTAGTCAGGTCCACCTCCGCCTGGCTGCTCCTGAGCGCCTCTTTGGCCAGGGACGCAGGGATTCCCCGGACGATCGCATGGGTGTAGTGACCAAAACCTGCCATCAAACCAGCCATGTTTTCGCTTCCCCCTTTTTCTCCTAAGCACTCACAAATCTTAGGGGAGAAAAAAAAGAAAAAAACACCCTAAGAGACAATTCAGCGAGTGAATAAGAAAAAAATACACCCCTGTGTACGCAATGCTACCTGTCTTGCTTATTTTCTCTGTAAGTTTGTAGGGTTTTATTCTTTATTTACAACAGCCTGCAACACACAGTGAGTGAGCCGAGCTCCAGTCTCTGGGAGAGCGACAGTTTTCGGTGACGCGCGCCGATCATCACGTGCAGCGCGACGAGGCTGTCAGCCCTGAGGGGCAATCAGTCCAACAAGTGACAGAAACAGGCAGAACGCTGATGGATTCATCAGCTTCACGCTGGTTCAGGACAGCATGGCAGGCCCAAGAATCAAAGGACTGCAAGCTTTTTTATATATGTATAGTGGAATGCAGTTTATAAAATAATTGTGCATTTTATTATTATTTACTAAAAGAAAATATACAATCTTGATACATATTTAAAGTTTAGGCAAAAAGCTTTCTATGGATTTGAAATGGACCAAATAAGCAGTAAAGTGAATAAAAAGTTATGCAGAAATTATTCATTCCATAAATTTTCAATGGGATTCTCAATCTTGTAAATACATCAATATGCTTCTTCTCACTTAATCTAAAAATTTGCAGTAGCTCAACCCAAGAACTGATTTGGCTTTGATTGAGAATCGGTGGAGAGAGCTTAAATGATCATGACTGAAAAAAACCCAAAGCTTTTGGACTTTTGGCCAAAATCCTAAAGGAAACATGCAGAATCCTAGTCCCAGTCATTTCATTGATGTAATGCCAATAAAGACATTTCTAAAGCTCCTTAAGAAAGTTGTAAAAAAAAAAAATGCTCTTTGTTATTAAAATATGGAACAAACCTAAACCACATATTTTTTTAATCTGTCTGCCCTTTTACATTGTTCTGTTGTCCTCTGGGAGACGTCTGTCTGGTTTCCTATCAGCAACAAATGTCTCGATTTATTGGAAACAGATTTGAATCCAAATCTGCCAGACATAATAATGATATTGGGCTTAATTGCTATTATTGGCGTCTTTATTACAACTTAAATTAAGAATGATAAGCCAAAACTCTTCCAGAAATACTAATTCTGAATGCTATTCAAAGTTTTTTTGCAATATTGCAAGTATTTATATCTCTTGAATTTTTTATTTTCTTACCTCTATCACAAACAAAAAGGATTAGAGAGCAAACATCAAAACTAAAGAAGACATCAAACAAGTTACAGGTAAAGTTGTTGAGAAGTTTAAAGTAGCTAATTATAAATGATTATTTGAATCTGTGTTTATCTAAAAGAAAAATTCAAAATAATCATAACCAATGTTGCCAGGTGGGTTTTTATTTGGTTTCTATCCGAATTACTTATTTAGAAATGTTTAGAAACATCCGTGTTTCAAAAATTTGGGCTGATTTCACATTTAGAGGTTTCTAGAAAGCATTCATAAATAAGTTTGGTCAATAGTTGTCAATGTTCATTTATCTTCTTTTTTTATTTGATTAGAGAAATGCAAATGATTAACATATCAGCTTTAAGCATAAATGTAAATATGCCGGAATTAATAACTAGTTTTCATCCCCTAGGAAAGTAAGGAAAATAAATATGAATCCAGACAATATACAGAGGAGAAGAAAGATGACACATACACTCTAGATAGGAATAACATGCATTTATAATAAACTCAGATAAACAGATTTTATACAGATAAAGTTGGAGCAACAACAGCTCCATAAATTGTGTTTTAGAAAAGTAAAACGCACACATTTCGGTAAAATGTGCCACTGAACGCATATTACAAGTTCATTTAACTTGAATCATCAATCAGGGACAGACTTTAGCTTATGAAGAGTCACTCTAAAATTATATTGGTCAGTTTTAAACAATGCAAAAAAGTTTTGCTCAATTCACTCTAAATGCAAAGTAAGTTGGATTTACAATCTATAATTCTATTGGGTAACTTTTTCCATATTTCTGTGATGGTGTGAGTGGAAAGGCAACCTTTGTTGAGCTGTTTATTATTAAGTTTGATGAGCTGTTAACTGTCAGATCTGGCAACCTTCTCCCTCATATAAAGATGGTATAAGTAATACATAATGGCAAACAAACCTGGGCGTTATTACAGAAGCCAACAAGAGGCCCATGGTAACTTGGGAGCTTTTTACATACCGAACTTAGATGATAATGTCTCTTATTTGGACATCTATTTGGCATTCATGCAAATAATAAAGCCGTTATGGATAAAAGGGTACTCTATGATGTTGTCTGGGCAAAACACACCAAAATACACTTGAATAACACCAGAAACTCTAAACATCATCCCATACACACCATTCTCAGCTTGAAACATGGTGGTGGCTGAATCATGCTGTGAGAATAATTTGATTCATACAAGGAATTGGTTTGAAATAAATAAGAAGCAACATCCATGTAACTTTTAAAGAAAACATGCTAGAGATTGCAGAAGACTTGAAGAGACATTTTGTAAATTTTTAATGAAGAATATCTTTAAAATAGCTTTTTTATTTGACCCTTTACGACTAAAACATTGATATGCTAACCTAACCTTACCTTGACATGGCAAACAATGGAAGCATTAAATAGATTTATTTTGTTCATACTAAGAAGCAACCGGCATACAGCGGCTCTACTCAGACACCGATGGCAACTCAAGGTAAGGTGAAAAAGTAAAAAAATATATCTTATTAGGTACGAGTGTAAGCTGCAGTTCTGTGTTTTGGCCACAGGTGGCAGTATCATTAGAAAACTCCATAATTTAAGGTGGAGGTTCAGTTTGATCAACTTAATGTAGTCACAAGCTGAAGTGAATAAAGCAAATAATGCTTTGACTGTTGATAAAAAAAAACAAAAAACATAACCTAACCTTATTGCAGCAGCATTGATTTTCATTATTCCAGCCATTTTCAATGAAATTCCTTTCAAAACAAAAAAGATAAGAGCACAGCACCATCTTGAACTCTGTGTTTAAAAGCATTCCTACTGGGAGGCTTCAAGTAGAAAACACACACAAACTTCAAGGGCAAAGAATATCAAAAGGGTCTTTCTGCTTGTGTGAAGTGTAGGGCAAGTATGGGAGGAATGGTGAACAGGCTGGGGTTTCTATTCCCTACAGTGCCATCTAAGGAAGGTTCTGGGCCTGGTGAAGCTGTCTGAATGGATGGAATGTTTTGTTCAGACATCCCAGAAGCACTTTTTTCCACCGCGAGATCTCGGTTTGTCTTTTCTTGTTCCAGATTCACTCAATTATCCTCAACTGCTCTAAACATTCCAGCACATTTTGAGGAGCCCCACATTCCATTTTCCACTCCAGCCAGGATCACCAAACACTGCCCACACTCTTCCCAATACCAGCACCTGCCCCCTACTCAGACCCCCCCTTTTTCCATTATTCTTGATTCTGGAAGGAGACAGCCTAAGCATTTTTCCCCTTTCAACAGATGCGAGTTTCCTTTATTCTATTTCTACATCTCACAGAGGTTATAAGACTGGTGGAGGCAGTGTTCATTTAAACTCCACAGCTTTGCATCAATTCACAGACAGACAGATTTGATTTAAGCTGTTATTGGTTGAACATTAGACATATGCAATCTTTTTTCAAACTCCAGTCCAGTTTTGACATGAAAGTAACACAAAACAAATCAATCATTTTCAATGATCGTGCCAGAGCAACTCAAAGATAAATCAATATTGCATAAAAATGCTTCTCTTTTTACCAAGGCATAATTAAAATCCAGTTATTAGTTCACAGAAGATATTACATTGTGCTGCCAAGTGCTGACAAATGATGACAAGCTATCAAGAAGGAAGTCAGATACATTTCAACTTTTTAATCAGGCTGTGTAATTTGCCAATAAAATCTAATTAAATATAAGTAAGGTGTGTGCGCAAAAACTTGTTCTTTGGCCAACAAATCCACTTTAAAAAGGGTTTGTTTCAACTGAGAAATTCTGGGGGAAAACATGAGATGGACACATTTAGATAGTTATTGTTCTTCATTTGTTATTTCAACGTGTCCCCGACAACAAGGCACCAAGTTAGAAGTGAGATGGCACTTAAGAAATGTAAAAATACATTTGTTAGGCAAGGTAAGGTTAGTTTATTTATATAGCACATTTCAGTAGGTGGACAATTCAAAGTAATTAACATGTGTGACCCTGCCTATGAAAACCCAGCTAAAGTCATTTTTTGGTGAATCTCAACTTAATGTATAAAACCATTCTACACAATGTTAAGAATGGTTTTATACATTAAGTTGAGATTCACCAAAAAATGACTTTAGCTGGGTTTTCATAGGCAGGGTCACATGTTATGAATACGCAGGGAAAAGTGCAATGCAATATAATAAACAATTATAAACTGATTAATAATAAAATGTTGTTAGCTTTCATCATCGCACAGAAGTAACAGGAAATTCCAGTTTGATTCAGCTCACAACCAATTATTGATCCAGAAAGGAAATTAAATAATGTGTCAACTAGGGCTCAAACTAACAACACTTTTGAAAATCTATTAATATCTCGATTTCTTTTTTGATGATTTGATTAATAATTGGATAGCCAAAGTTTCTTTACAGAAGACTTTTTAAAACATTAAACCCGGTTAAACTAAAATTTTTAAACTTGAGGAGTTTTGGATAAAACGTATTGACACTTATAACTTAAATGCAAAATGTTAACATATTTTTTTACAATGTTGATATAATTACTGCTTAAGTGGGTCACTCTGTCAGTTAAAGGCAGGTTCTATACTCTTTATCCTCCTGTTAACAATTAATCGATTACTAAATTATTTGAGGATCAATTCAATAATCAATAAATCGCAATTAATCTGATTAATTGTTTCAGCCCTAGTGTCAAAACAGAGTATCCTGTTTAGATAAATGAAAAGATTACTATTTGACAGTATTATGGCTAATGACTTAAAAAAAAATAGCTCAACAAGCTAATTAAGAAGGTTGGTTCTGTTCTAGGAACTCATCTAGAACCTATGGAGAGTATTTCACAAAAAAGAATTCTTTATAAAGTGAAGAAAATTATGGACAACAGTGCACATTCTATTTTTAAACAACAGAGTGTCTTCAGTCAGAGGCTTCTCCAGATCCGGTGCAAGACAGACTGCTACAGAAGATCCTTTCTGCCTGCAGCTATCAACACCTACAACATCTGTTTAAAACAATAATAAATTTCCCCTTGGAATTAATAAAGTATTTTTGAA